CCGCCTACCCGACGGTACGGAGCTGACACTTGGATATGAGTTGCTGCAGGCCCCAGAGGTGCTATTCAACCCCGCCCTGCTTGGAAAAGAGCATCCAGGTTTGGCGGGTATCGTCTCCAATGCAGTGCGGGTAGCTGACATTGAGCTTCGCACGGAACTGTGCGAACATATTTATTTGACGGGTGGCTCGACGTTACTTAGTGGATTTGGGCAGCGCTTCCTTTCGGAGTTGCTGCAGCTCACACCGCGTAACTGCCGGGTGCGTATCTCGGCACCGGCGGAAAGGTCACATACAGCATGGTTAGGTGCATCGCTTCTCACTCGACTCTCGACATTCCCGCAGCAGATGCTTGTGAGCCGGGCAGATTTCTTGGAGGAGGGTGAGCGCGCACTGCACAACCGCCGTGTGGGCTAGGGAGCTGCCGATGAAAGTGAAGTGAAGTTGAGAGAACTAAGGTCAGTAGATGCACTGCGAGGGAAGGAGTCAGTTGAGCCTGCAATGCATGCATCGCCCTCTCTTTCTCCCACCGCGTGTATGTATGTTTTTTTCCTTTTTTTTGGCTGATTTCAACTTGAAGGGGTGTAGAGGGAGGAAGGGAGGGAGGGTGTGTGTGTGTGTGTGTACTGTTGGCAGGAAAAAGGGAAAAGAAGAGAAACAAAAAAAAAAACAATTGAGATGAGCTGTCGGAGGTTTCATAAGGTTTTACAAGCGAATGAGGAGGAAAACGAGCATGCACGCGAGGCCTTTCTTGCATCCTGGCGTTCGGAATATCAACAGTTTCTACAAAGCAAACTCGCTGCTCTTGTGTGGCACGTGGAGCATCACTGCCGTAGTCATGTGACTCCCCAGACTGCGACGTCCATGGCCTGCGGTGAAGTGCCGCGGATGAAAGTAGCGACCACAGCACCCAACTCTACCACGACGGCGTCTACGAACAGCAACAGTGCCATGATGGCTGAAGACGCTGAGCAGCATGATGCCTGCAACGTGTTGGCTCACAAGCAAAACAGGAGGACGACGCTCCCGTCACATTTTTTCCTTGAGCAAACTCCCACATCGATGCCTTTTTATCCGCGGGAATTTATTGTAGAGAAGGAAGCCCAGATGTTTCGGCAAACGAACTCACCGTTTACGGTAGGGGAAACCCCCCACGGTAGCCAACACTCTCGCACCGAAATTAACGCATCCACGGCGACAGTGGTGCCATTGCCGTCAGTACATAAGAAAGAGACAGCCGATCGGAATAGTGAAAAGGATGATGACAGGACGGCAATTTTGGCCGTGAGCCCATCACCGCGTCAAATCTCAATGCATTCACCGTCTCAAATAGAGGATGATGGCTCTCTAGATGCTTCTTTAAGCCCAGCAGCGACAGTAGCAGTAACGAACGTGCTGACGAGAACGCCCGGACCCGCTGTGCAGCTACAGAAGATGCTGCCAACGGAGGAGGTGTCCAAGGCGAATCTCAGGAAAACTATTGCTCGCTTGTACAGTGAATCTGTGGACACACGAAGCTCGTGGTCAGATACGTGGAGTCAAAAGAAACAACGAGCAGCATCATTACTACCACCACCATCATCAGCATCACACATGATGCATTTAAAGACGATGCACGTTAGTCACGGAACCCCCTGTGAAAATATGGAGGCTTCGAGAAATGACATGTTGTCAAAAAAGCAGCTGATATGCGAACTGCGTCGACTGTATGGTTTGGAAGATGAGCGTTAAGTCAAGCGGATCCCGTTGGGTGGGGTGGGCCCTTGTTTAATTGTTTCTTTGCTCCATGTGAGCGAACACCGCCTGCCGTGTCTGTGTGTGTTCCCTAATTTTGTTTGTGTTGTTTTTTTTTTTTTTTTTTGCTTTCACACAAACGCACACGCACACACACAAAAAAAAAAATAATAATAACAAAAACAACAATTATGCATATAGAAAGATGCTGTTTTCTCTTTCAACATCCACAAAATCCCCATCCTTCCTCCAAGTGGGAGAGGAATAATACTTGACAAGATCAATTCTAATTGTGGCAGCGTGATGCCCTGTATCCGCGACGCCTACCACCTCCCCCTCCCAAAATTTTTTCCTTTTCTTTTTCTTTTCATTGGATACCAAGTAACAATTCTCTAGGAAGTCCATTTATGGCGTGGGTGACCGCGACGAGCTCAGAGGAGGGCAAATCGAAGGCACCTGTTTCCGGTGCGACGTTGTCCCCGACGCCGTTGGACAGAAATGAGGCAGCGGATCACAACGCCGGTCCCCGCATGAGCCACAACATTCATGGGTCTATGGCATCCGAGGGCGCCCCGCAGTCTTCACACCGTGCTGGTGAAGAAGAGGATCATGCCATTTTGCTGCCGAAGCCTCCCCTGAAACCTGCTCCACGCCAAATGGAGAATCATGAATCTGACACGTGTGCCACACACGGGGATAGCGGGGTGAAACTCCCGGAAAAGAAATGCAATGAAATGGGGAGCAATGGGCGGTTACAATCAGCAAATAACACGTTAACTGCCACGTTGCGGTTGAATGAAGGGGATCTTAAGGCGGAAAATAATAACGACGATGATGATGATGATGAGTTTGGAGATTTTGTGGGGGTCACTTCCAGGCCTGTATCGGAACCTGTCGCCATCCCGGAGGAGCCGATGTTGAGGAGAAACGAGCCACTGCATGCTTTTATAAATCAGCAGGAGAAGGAGCATGGTCACGGAATAGGAGGAGGAAAAAGTGAGAGCGGTCAATTGAATGCGCTCACGTTTCATACCGTTGCGTGTGCTTCTGCTGAACCGAGAGCAACAACGATGGGCTCCTCAGGATGTGTGTGTGTCGATGCGGATAGGCTCGACATGATCAACGCTTCACCCGTTGTCGTGAAAGACGAGGGTGCAGAAGAGGCGGAGGAGTACAAGCACAGGGAGACACACGTCGTTGAGGGAAGAGACGATGAAGGGGCGGAGAATGAACGAGAGCACCATCACAACAACCAGCAGCAGGAGGAGGAGGACGATGAGGAGGAGGAGTGGGCCGCATTTACGGATGCCGCTGTTCCTCCAAACCCGCCCCTACAAAAACAACTGGTGACTGCAGGGGAAGCTACAGGGATTAGTGACATGTGTGTAGAGGAAGATACTCATGCAACAAGCAGTGGGCGACAATTTGTCTTTCGTCGAGACATGGACATTGCCCGAATTATTCGTCAGCTTCGCGAGCTCAGCGGATGTGTGCTCGACACGGAGGAATGTAACGGTTGTCATGATGGTGGCATCGAGCAGCAGCAGAGTGACACCGGTAGTAGCAGCGGCGAAGATCGAAAAGGGAAGCAATCGCGGCGTGAACTTCTTCTTGCGGTCATGGACGCCCTCTCCTTCAGAAGACGTGATTCAGTCAATAGAGTGGGAGAAACACCGCCCGTGGGTGGCGGTCCATGTGTCACCTCTGGTAGTTTGGCTTTCCACTGCAACCCCTTGGGCACACCGCCATGTATCGGGGAAGGCTGTGAAAAGCGTCATGATACACCGCAGCCGCAGCCGCAGCTGCCCGATCAGGCGTCCGCGACGTTGGACGGCATTATAGATCCCTTTGCGCCCCTGCGGCTTGCCGAGCGGCACACGACACAACGTCGTGAGCAGTTGGAGTCGGTCCTCCTCCAGGCTTCTCGAGTGCGGCAACGTGCCATACCTGTTTGTGAGGCTATTACCAAGGTAAGGAATCTTGCCATGGAATATGAACAAGAAAAACAAAAAGAGCAGCAAACATCGGATAAAGAAAAGGAATCGACGTGGCATATTCACCCAACTTTACCAACACCATGCATTGGAGGAAACCTCTTCCCTGCATTCTCTTTGAGATTGCCCTTTTAGTGGGATATTTACGAGTAATATATTTATTTATCTGCATTATGCAAATATATATATATTTATATCTTTCGAATAGACACGTCATGGAATTCCTGTGTCGTGTGTGCAAAATATGCTTTCTCTTTCTTTCACTCTACCTCTCTCTCTCTCTGACTGCGTGTGTGTGTGTGTGTGTTTGTAGAAAATTAAAACAAAAAAAAAATATCGGGACAATTCGGTGATTTTGTAAGAAGTGACATTATGCGTTTAAAGTGCCTTCCTTGTTGTTGTTGTTGTTGTTCCCTTCCCTGCTCGCATCCATTTTTGAACAGTCCACACACTCACACTCTTCCTTTCTTTCTTTTACTCCGTTTTTATTTTACTTTTATTTTATGTTTTTATGTGACTGCATTGATCTTTACAAAAAAAAAAAAAAAAGAACGATATAAATCTCAATTTGCAAACGAAATAACAACAACAAGAAGAAGAAGAAGAACAGACGAAAAAAAACAAAATACTATCCAATATAATATACACCCGTACACACATATATAAAATAAAAATTAAAAAAAGAAAATGGCGATCCGATGCCTCTGGAACAACATTGCTGCCCTCCCAGCAGACCCCATTTTTTCCGCTTCTTTGGTTGCGAAGAATGCGCCAGAACCAAAAGTAGACCTCATTATTGGCGCCTACCGTGATGCGGAAGGCCACCCATACCCCCTACATGTTGTAAGAAAAGCGGAACAACGCCTTCTGGAAATGAATGTCGACAAGGAGTACCTACCAATGTCAGGGTATGCGCCCTTCATTGAAGAGTCATTGAAGATTGCTTATGGGGACAGTGTGGCGCGTGAAAATGTGGTGGGGGTACAGGGACTGAGCGGCACAGGGTCACTCAGTATTGGAGCGTGTTTCCTCGCCCGTGTCCTCTCGCCCAAGACTCCCGTGTACATTTCCGATCCGACGTGGCCAAACCACTACGCCGTTATGGCCGCGGCAAATCTGACCGACTTACGCAAGTACCGTTACTACGACAGCGCCAAACGTTGTATTGACTTTGATGGTCTTTTAGAAGACCTCAACGTGGCGCCGGAGGGCAGTATCGTCATCCTGCATGCCTGTGCACATAATCCGACAGGTATGGACCCGACCCACGAACAATGGGCCAAAATTTTGGAGGTTTTCCAGGCGCGTCGTCTCATTCCCTTCTTTGACTCTGCATATCAGGGTTATGCCACCGGAAGCCTTGATAATGACGCCTATTCGATTCGTCTCTTTGCACGACAAGGGATGGAAATGCTTCTTGCACAGTCCTATTCAAAGAATATGGGCCTGTACGCAGAGCGTGTGGGTGTCTGCTCCGTTGTCACAGCCGACCCAAAGAAGGCGCCGTTGATTAAGTCGCAGCTTGAAACGATCGTACGTAGCCAATATTCCACTCCACCGGCTCACGGTGCTCGAGTGGCGTACCTCGTTTTGAGCGACTCTGAACTTCGTGCAGGGTGGGAGCAGGAGTTGCGAGTAATGTCGACGCGTGTGCTCGAAATGCGCCAAGCTTTGTACGATGGCCTCAAG